TTCCGGCTTACATACAAATTCAACTTAAGGACAGACCTTGGGAATGGAACTTGTTCTTTAAACTGGGGATGACCTGTAGGAGATGATGAGACACTTGTACCAGCTAAGTTCATGGGTTTAACTAACCACTATTGTGAAATGTCATGGTCAGTGTATTATGAAATACCTTTTATATTTAGGATTAGAAGGTCAGTCTCTTGAGATATCCAATATTGTGGACATAAGAGGAGAATACAACCGTGAGATTGCAATGAGAATTTCATCTGATACAGAAAGCCAAAACAAATTTTATACTGACCTCAATGGATACCAGGTAATTCTCATGAACTAATTTAATGAGTACTGTATGCATATATTAAGTTCATAAGTTCCTTTTATTTATTATTATTTATTAAGCCAATTTATATACCTGCCCACCTCACCACAGGTGACTCTGTAAAAGTAATTATAATAAACTGCATAATATTTAATCTGAATTTTGGGTCACAAAGTTTTATATAAAATTAGCAACTTCTTTTAAACACTTTTGGTGACATCCAATAGAGCATATGTGCAATATTGTTCACCCAATGCCTCTTTTCCTTCCTCTTCTCCTTCTTGCAGTCCCCTGTACCCCAAATAAGCCCCTTCAAAATGTTGGAGGGAGAGATCTATATAATATTGTGAATTGTCCATCAGGCTGTAGTGGGAGGGGAAAGCATCCAAATCAGGTAGAAGAATCTTTCACAGCTCATGGTTTTGATACCTCTGTCCTCCTTCAGAAACTTAGCAACGCACAGTGCACAGTGTTTCTAGACCTTTTAAATAAAGTATTTAGCATTTTAAAGATGCTTGGGGCAGAGGGGTTTGTATTTTGTTAGTGTTTTATAGTTCTTACATTGTTAGCCATCTTTGGGATTCCTTTAGTATGGAAGAATATAAAAACAACAAATGAATAATTATAATTGTGATGAAAAGATACATTTCTTTGTCATTGAACGTGAAGAAAAAAGTATTCACTTTATTCTAGGGAAATAATATTTGAGAAAGTTTGACAGATAACTTTAAGTGTCTGTGTTTATGTGTGAGCCAGCATAACAACAACAGTTGAGTAAAAAAAAAATTCTTTTCTTACAAACTCTTAATTTTTTATAAGTTTATGGGCATTTCTTACATAAACAGTGTTTACTGTTCAGACTTTCAAAAAAATATATAATTAAAAAAACATAGTTTCTTCAGCTGATATAAATAGCACCTTTGCCTGGTCTTATTGTGACTGGATTTTGCAGAAATATTTTTTAACAGTCATTTTGGTAACATCTAAGAAGTAGCATTGTCTTCTTATTAGTGTCAACTGACATGTCTCATGTTAATAAAAACATGATTGAAATAGCCACATAATATTGGGTTGAGCCATATACTTTTATATTTTATATAAATATAAATTTTATATTTTCATTACTGTATGAAAAATAGTAAGTGTGAGTACTATTTTATAAAATTATATAAAGTAATATTCACAATTACTATTTTTCATGAAGCAGAAGCAGTTTTTCTATTTGTATTTTTAAATTCTCAACATTCACTGAAGTCACATTTGATAATTTAGATCCAGCCTAGACAGACAATGAGCAAATTGCCTCTTCAAGCAAATTTTTATCCAATGGCTACAATGGCTTATATCCAAGATAGCAAGATTCGAATGACCCTTCATTCCGCTCAGTCTCTTGGAGTTGCAAGTTTAAAAAGTGGTAAGAAATGGTAGAAACTTACAGTATGACTGTGATGAAAATCACGAATTTCTTATCTTGATAATGCCAACATACACTATCATCTAAAAGTCCGTTTTGTGTCTCGAGGATTTGTGACTGTTTATTTTGACTCTGACAATTTATAACTATATTAATTTAGAGAAGCTCTAAATCTGCTATTCTGTAAATATCTCTTATCCTGGATTACTTCTTCAGATACTTAAAAAGGTGTATGTCTGTGGGAAGTATAATGCAGTTTATATTTTTTTAGGTCAGTTAGAGGTTATCATGGATCGTCGACTTATGCAGGATGACAATCGAGGTTTAGGTCAAGGTGTACAGGACAACAAAATAACAGCTAATCTGTTTCGACTTCTGTTGGAGAAAAGAAGTGAAGTAAATACGGTAGGAGGCAATCACTATTTTATCATCTTGTTATATTGTTAGCTTTTAAATATATTCATTCACGTATCATAAATTTTATTCTATTTTAACTAATATTTATTTGTTTTTTTTACTGTAAACCACCCAGTCACTTCTTTGTGAGATGGGCAGTACCTAAATTTGAAATATAAATAAATAAATAAATAAATAAATTCCACAGTGTTTTATAATCATAAATTCAGCAGTCATCTTCAGTGTTCAAGTTATAGTTAATTTTAGCCTTATACCATCCTTCTAGACCTTTCTCCCAGAGCCCTAATTTTATGATGTAAATGGTAGTGCCTGAAAATGCAACTGTTTCTTGACTGCTCAGTGCTTCCTTTGAAAAAGAAAAATGTCGGGTTGATCAAAAACAAGTAGAGCCATGCACGCAGACACCTCAGCTGCATCACTGAAAATGCATGGCTGTTTCAGGGAAATGCTATTTCAAAGTTCTCCTGTTGCTTTGAAGGAACTCCTCATAAAACCAAATAACTTCACTGCAAGCAGGGATTGAGTTTGCACCACTATAAATGACATCATTTGACTACTGCTAGATAACTAGGAAAGGATCTGAACCATATGTTTGATTTTGTTCCCTACTCCTGATTTAAGTTACAGTACATGAATTGTCATAAATATCATGTTTGCCCTCTTTAGGACATACATATTTGAATTTCTGATGCTATATAATTTCATATGCTTAGGAAATGCAACAGTGTGGGTTTTTTTCTCGGAAAGGGCCCAATGTTTCTGGAGCGATGAACAGAATAAGGGGAACAAGTAGGAAAAACTAGAAGTCTTAATGCAGTCAAGAGAATTTGGCTAAGACTACAGGTAGTCCTCATTTAATGACCATTCGTTCAGTGACTGTGCAAAGTTACGATGGCACTGAACAAATGATAGTTATGACCCATCCTCAAAGTTACAGCCATTGCAGCATCCCTGCAGTCACATGATCAAAATTCGGGCGCTTGGCAGCCCATCTGCATTTACAACCACAGAATGCACTTCAATTCTCCCCCAACTGCCAATCTCCCCCCATTTCTGCCTTTTTGACTGCCCTGCACTTTGTCGCCTACCCCTGCCGCCCCCAGCTGAACTTTGCCATCTTCTTCCTGCTGCTGGTGAAGCACACTGGACTAAGGCAGCTGCTGGCCCTTCACAAGGCCTTTGTGAGGCCTTTGCAACCCCCCCATCTCTGTCCTTTTGGCCTTCCTGCACTTCACTGCTGCTGTCTATCCACTGCCACCCCTGCTGCTCCCGCTGACCTTCGCCTTCCTCCTCCTCCTCCTCCTCGGTGTGGGGGCTCTGTCAGCACTGGGCTTCCTGCCACTGCCCCAGCTATGAGTCTCTTGATGGACCTGTCCCGCTTCAGCAGTCTTAGCCTGCTACACATTCCCACGTGCACACCCAGTCTGCTTGTTGGGGCTCCACACATGGTTCACTGCCTCCTCTTGGCTGCTGGCTGTGGTGTTGCAAAGCAGCTGCTTGTTCCACAGGGGTTGGTGCCTCCCAGGAGGCAAGTAAAAGCAAGGCAGGCGCGGGGGGCTGCTTTTGGTCCCCTACCGCCACCCCTCCGACCGGCCACCAACGCTCTCCGCGGAGCGTCGCACAACCCTCTCCCTCCCCCCCCCCCCCCC